GTTTTCAGATAGTAACCTATTTCTTATCTCCATTGATTTTTCTGCCTTCACCAATTTCAAAAGAATTAGCATGTGTAGTATATGTGTATAAATAAAGAGTATTCACGATGCTTGTACCTTCTCACTTGCGCACTCTTTTGCCCATTTGCTGTTCGCAGGATCTGGGACGATGCTCGGCATTAGGCAGTGACAACATCCTGATAATCTGATAATAAGATGAAATAAACAATAAAGTGCTTCTTAAATCAAACGAGTGTGTTCTTTTATTATGTACAATATATGGCCGAAAGTATGTGGACACCTGACCATCACACCCATATGTGGACCTTCCCCAAACTGTTTCTACAAAGTTTGAAGCACAGATTTATATAGAATGTCTTTGTATGCTGTAGCATTACAGTTTCCCTTCACTGTAAGGGTTTAAGAGGCCCAAACCTGCCGTGCACAAAGCAAGGTCATTGAAGACATGGTTTGCCAAAGTTGGAGTGGAAGAACTCGAGTGGCCTGCACAGAGTCCTTGACAAATCCCCACAGTCATGCTCCATAACCTAATGGAAAGCCTTCCCAGAAGAGTGGAGGTTATTATAACAGCAAAAAAGGACTACATCTGGAATGGGATGCTCAACAAGCACATATGGATGCGATTGGTCTGGTGTCCACATACTTCTGGCCATGTAGTGTATTTTTTGGTTGTCGTTGCTTGCATTCTCACCTTCTGTGTACTGAAGAGAACTGACATAAGCACAGGAGACACAGACAGGTTACGAAAACAGCACTTCCCACTGAGATGACCAGAGCCAGGGTTTTCTCATCTGACAAAGGAAGATAAGTAATGACGTGAGGAATGAAGTGGAATGTGTTGGTAATACAAAAGCTGCCTTTCGTTGGTCAGACTAATAGGTTGGAATGACTTTGACCTAAAGTCTCAGCATAAAAAAATCTATTCACAATTTTACAAAGTGAGGCATTTTTAATCAGGGTTTTCTCACTGCAACATAGGCCAACACTATTCCAAATTATTCCAAGTTCTAGGCTCTTTTTGACTAAAGGACAAAAATTAAAACAGAGAACAGGAATGTGAGGCTACAGTGGGCACAAGTTCACAAAAAAAAACATCATCTGCTCTGTGTCCAATCTTCAACTGAATAGTTTCGGTGAGCCTCAGATTTCAGTTCTTGGCTGAAAAGAGTGGAAACCGATGTGGTCTTCCACTGTTTTAGTCCATCCACCACAAGGTTATTGAGTTACTGTAGGCTTCCTGTCAGCTCAAATCAGTCTGACCATATTAAAGTAGCCAGTCAGCGATTTTTCATATGTATATATATATATATATATATGTATTGTTTATTACTATCCACAGTTTCAGGCATCTGCTCAGGGATTGGAACCTATTTACCACAGATACTTGGGTCCTACTGTGTACGCGCACACACACACAGTATGTAGACTTTGGACATAATCTGTTCATACCTAGTGTTGAGAGTTTTGGTATGAACAGGTGGTTATTTTCTACAGGACTTTCTCCTGCTGTAGTCCAGGCTGAGACCCACAGTCTGTATCTCTCTCCCGGAATCAAGCCACTGATGGTAAACTCTCTCTGAGGGTGTGTGACATCTACAAAACAGTTCTGCTTTAGTAACTTTATATACACACACACACACACACATATATATATATATACACAAAACAACTGAAAATTATGCAAATACACATGCAAATACAGCCTGTGACTGTGTATCAGGAAAAAGAAAAAACCTGACATCAGTGCCACTCTAACTGTAATTTCAGACCACAGGGAGAACTTGTGAACTATATATGTATATAAATAAAAAGACAGTTGCCATTAGATTAGGTCCAAAGCAAATATAATTTTAGAAAAATGACAAGTGTTTCTTAACATAGATTAATATTTATCTCCCCAATTAGAAAGAGGGTTCCTTAAGGGTTCTTCTTGGTTGTTAGTGATTCTTTTGTGAGAGGAAAACCCTTTATGGTGCAAGATGGAACCTTTTTTAAAGAGTGTGCTAAAGAATGCTGTGTCTAATAAAATCACAATGCTATCCACACAATGTTTAGTTTCTTACTGTAATTCTGAATTTTGCCTGCTGAATCCTTCAGGTAGATGATGTAGTGTTCCAGACAGCCTCCTCTCTTCTTTGGTGGGATCTCACTCCATTTTACCTCCACAGTTTCACTCTTCACAACGATGCTAGCCTCAGGACTCTGTTGTGGAGCTGTGGGTTCAAAGACACCGTTATTTTGAGGCCTGTCTGCTTATCTCACTTAATGGCCAGTTCTCAAAGGAGCGACTCTCTCACCTGTCTGCCAGGTAGAGATCTTTTGGAAGATGGCTTTTTTTGTCCCAGATGAGTATAGATAGACCACTGCACCTTCATAGCACACTGCAGGCTGCAAACCTGAACACACCAGACATTTAAAGAGAGAGACAGTGAGAAGTGAGGGAGAGAAGAAACAAATTTACTTTAATAAAAACATGTGCCATGTCTGTTTTTAACCAAATGTTACATGTGGCAGGAGATTTAAAATCCCATGACTGAAAGCGTTATCTAGATTTCAAACTTTCAGCCACCAGACAAGATATCTAGTCTCTCTTATTCCACTAGGGGGCAAAACAGAGCTATAAAGTCATTGGCCATAAACTCAACTACTAATAAAACTGCTATGCATTCTTCATTAGCAAGGTACAAACTTGACACTGTAACCATGTCTCTTTCCAAATTAAATAATTACGGGCTTCACAGTAACAGGGGTGAATAGTTATGCAATTAATTTTTTTTTTTAATTTACTAAATAATTTTGCAAACTACATAGATTGTCCCCTCCACTTCTATATTATGGGCTATTTTGTGTAGATCTTTTTTTTGTAATGATTTGCAGTCTGTCCTGGTTTGTAGAAGATAGGCTATGTTCAGTCTATTTGTGCATTCAGGATGTTCCTTTGATATAAATACTGACAGATGAGCATGTTTAAATGTGAGTCAAGATGTGTTATCGGTCTACTAAACTGATTTTTTTTTTAATCAGGCCCACCTGACATTGGACTAAATGTAATGTGGCCCATTACCTAAAATAATAGCGAAAAACTATTTCAAACGTGTATAGTTTTATTTATGTAGGCTGAGGATTGTTGAATATTGAGCTTATTTAGATTTTTTTTCTTCATTTAAGAGTGGGCCTGAACATACAGCATCAGTAGAAGGTCATACAAGAGAGAACGTGAAAGTGTAGCACAACTCAGGTGAGATTCAGTGCCATCATCTAAACATCACATAAACATCAAACTAACCCCTGAGCTATTGCTATCCAAACAGCATTGGTATTGTCTGGATATACAATGATTATTTTAATAGTAATTATTAAAATATAAAAATAAAATAAATTGGTTTTAGAAATATATAAATATGTTTTATGTTTTAACTTGTTTTTGAGTCACTTTTATTTCTATTCATCAGTCATGAAACCACAGTAAACTATGGTGATTTTTTTTGTAAGGAATTAAAGTCTTTCCTGCACCTGCTAAAACATTTCATGTTCCATTTTTGTTCCAGTGTTGGACTGGAACATCCAATACCAGTCAATAACATTTTAGATCCTCTTTCCAATTTTACGGTGAGCAAAAAAGTGCTCTGATGACTCCATAGACTGTCAAAAATGATTTACTGCTGAGGTTAATTTTTGTTCCCCAATGGTAGGAATGATGTAACACATTCTTTTAAAGATACAGAATAATATTCCTATATGACTACATTCCTCTAAGGTATAAAAGTCCTTTGAGGGAACCACCGTGATAAGCATTTGTCCATTAAAACCACAGTTTAGTGATTTTTTGTAGATATTCTTAAGAACACCTACTACACATACTGACCAGTCATATGTGCTGTGTTCAGGTGCCGTTCCACTCTGATCCACTGAGGTGGCTGATTCTGTCCCTCAGGAAACCACTCTACCAAGAACTCTGTCACCGGGTCGGCACTGACAGGCCTCGGCCAGGAGAGGGCGACACTGTGATTATTCACGTGAGTGTGTGACACCTTGTATGGAAGAAGAGCTGCAAAACCACAAGAGTACGACAACCTGTTCAGGTTTCCTTGAAATCCAGAAGCATTTACGTGTTCTAACCATCTTCAGTACATTTATACCACAGTGCTGTTCAGTTCTCAGATCTGACTGGTTAGAAGGTGTTGATTTATTTTCTATAGCAACAGCTTTCTCAATAGTTATTAGTATAAATCACAGGCTCTTTTTTAATACATTTTTCTATAGTAGTAGATCATCTTATATGAAGTGAAGGCTAACACGTGAAGCCAGCCATCCGCATCCTTTCAAACTGCTGCTCATGCCGTGTCACAGGGAATCGTAACACACTTGGAGGAAAGCACTATCTGTCCTCTTCTGATCTTACAGATGCCTATGATTGGTTTTTGAACTCGTGATCTGTCGAACGCTTTCCTGTTTTGCCACACAGAAGTCCCCCAAAGTGTTTTATTATATACCTAATTCACTTGCAGATGTATACACTTAAAAATGTACAGATGGATAATGTAATTTCACAATGAGAACAAGAGAAGCAGTCCAAACAAAAAACAGAGAGTGGCATGTTGTGGATGTGACCTACCTATAGGCTGTAGCTGAATTTGTCGGGCAGGAGACAGGCCTTTTGAGTTCATAGCAGAAATGGACACACGGCAGGAAAAACAGGACACATTGACTGTGTTTACAAGAATGGTCCTGTTGCTGATTCCCTGTTCAGTCACAACATACTGCAGAATCTTTCCTCTGGCTTCTGATTTGTTCAACTCCTAAGCAAACAGAAGATGAGGAAGCCTTTATTTGTCACATATACATTACAGCGAAATTCTTTTTTTTTTTTTTCCCCCCCACATATCCCAGGTTCTTAGGAAGCTGGGTTCAGCCATGATACAGTACCCCTGGAGCAGAGAGAATTAAGGGCTTTGCTCAAGGATCCAACAGTGGCAGCTTGATAGTGCTGGGGCTTGAACCCCCAACCTTCTGATCAGTAAACCAGAACCTCAACCACTGAGCCACCCCTGCCAGTGATAGGCATAATGTTTTCACACTGAATACAGTCTCACTATACATATACTGATACTTGCATAAAGCATTAAAGTCATAAAAGCAGTACTGGAAGACATCAGTTGATGCCGTGATTTTCTCTGTAGTCTTTTTTTTGTAAGCAGAAACCTGAAAGCCTTCTAGGTTTTGCTTTACCAAAGTGGTAGCAATGATGCAGATGGCATGATCTATGTCACTTCTCAGTAGTGCTTTGACCTTTAGTCATGTGAAGTGATGGGCAGTGTGGAGGTCTGGAGCAACTGCCTAGCTACAACTGAACAAATCAGTGACAGTATTTGCTGAGTATGGAAGCACAAAACCTCCTCAATGTGCTGGAAGAATAAATTAATTGTGTTTAATATGTGCATAAACTGTGTGTAATACTTGCCTTCCAAAATAACTGGAATGACTTGCTGACTGTTTTTGTGGGTTCTTGAATATACCACGCATCAAGCATCCTCACAGGAGCTAAATAAAAAAAGCATGATGTTATAAGTTTATTCTTGATTTTAGTTTGGACTGTGTAGGATTTTTTTTATTTATTAACCAACAGGGCATGGTTTAAAAGTAATTCAATAGAAAGTGCCAAGCTGCTATTTTTCATCTCAAGAGGCACTCTGCAAGAATGACACCAAGATGTCTGCCAAATGTGAGCATAAACCAGCTTTTTAGATAACCTGATATTCATTCATCTTCCATAACCACTTTCTCTTGTTCAGGGTCATGGAGTTGGATCCAGAGCCTATCCTGGGAACACTGGGCACAAGGTGCACCTTGGATGTGATACCAGTCCATCGTGGGGCACTGTGCGCAAACACATACACACCTAGGGCCAATTTAGAGTAGGCGTTTCATTTACTGGCATGTTTTTGGAAGGTGGGAGGAAACTGGAGAACCTGGAGGAAGCCCATTTGAACCTCTACATAGACAGTAACCCAAGCTCGGGATTGAACCCGGGACACTGGAGCTGTGAAGTGTCAATGCTACCTGCCGCACCATCGATTTTTATTATTGTTGTTGGACTAGAAACTAGAAAGTGGTGCAGGAGACCAAGTGATGACCATTTTACATTTAAAACATAAATGCCTGTACCAGCATTCCTCCTAATGCAAGTGATCTAAAGACAGAACAAGCACCTCCACCTCCAACTCCATGTGTGACACTACATTTAGCTGTGCTTGTGATAAAAAAAAAATTCATCCAAAAGCCTACGTCAGAATGTGCACTTATCTAACACGATCAAACGTCTCTGTGTCTGTTTCCATTACACTCCCCAGTCTTGAATTCACCATGTATATCACTAAAACAGCTATGCTTTAAATGAGTCAAGTAAATATAACCTTTGAGTTATAATCAAATGAATAGACTAAAAGAGTCAGTATGGTTTTAATCACCACCTTCTTCATCAGTCGTGCCCTCGATCCGGGTCCACTCACTCCAGTGACCTCTTGTTGGGCCAGGTTTCCACCTGACCTCAAATGTGTACGTGCTGTACGGATTCAGTGATGTTATAGTCCAGCTTGTTGTCGAATGGGTGTTCTGAAGAGGGATAAAAATGGTTTCCATCATAGAAAACATTCTCTAGAATTGTACAGATCAATAATTACAATCAACATACAGTACATCACATGACTATGGCATAAATTGGAAAGTTTGACGAAAATGCAACTATATTTCTTAACTGGAAAATGTTAAATAAAGTTAGGTCCTGATTCTGAACACTTGGAAGCGATGATAGCCGTTTTGCTAAAATTATGCTACTTGCTACTTTGTAATTTATATTATTTTATTGGACAAAAATGAGTGCAAAATTTCATTTATTTTGGATTGGACTGGATTTGCAATCGTGCAATTTTTTTCCTTAAACCACAGATCTCTGAGACCAGATGAAATATGGTATGTCTGTATGCCAAATAATTCCTAAATTATTAAGCAACATGAAGGAAATAATCAGTGAAAGGGTGGTATGATGTGGCCCGATGTGAAGTGGAATTACTGTTACTACCCTGAAGTTGATTAATTTCCTATAACAGCACATTCCGAAGCGTTATGTGGAGTGTGCGCCCTGTGACGTAGCTGTGACACTAGAAATGATAACATATTAGAATGAGCATATTAATAAAGTATTTTGCCTGACATCCACCGTTACTCTCAGAACTGCTGTTAGAAAATAGTTAATAAATAGAAATACACATAGAAAGTTAAGCAGCAGCTTCTGACTAATCAGATTTAAGAATTCAACAGTGCTGTGGTATACATGCCTATAAATATTGCACCTCGGGTCTGCAACTAAGGTACATTAAACACACCTTTTCAGTTTAGTTTCAGTTTAGTTTTGAAACAGTTTCTCAGTCACATTTCCTCTTTGCTGCAGTTCTGCACTGTTAAAGCACCACAGCTAGAGAAAGTAACACCACTAGTATTGTCATGACACTCTCTGGCTTTTTTCTTTTTCCTTTCTGTTCAATTTAAAACTGTATATATATATTTTGGTCTATAACAGTGGCAACGCGGTCATGAGAACAACTTTTATCTTTTGAAGTCTGCATGGAAATTAAACTAACTGAAATGTTGAAACAGCTCCCAATCATTTTTACAGTGCAAAAGGTCTGGCAGTTGTGTCACACCATGAGGATTGCGAAAACCCCTTGACATTTATCTGTCTAGTTCTGAATCAGCCCACAAAAGGTTTGTAATCTACAGACTCATCTGATCAGTAGGTTTGTGGGCTGCCAGTAAGTCAGTGGTTTAATGCGCTTCTCTCGGGATTTGTTTTAAGCCAGTAAATGCTTTCATGTGTTAGACTAAAAAGACTAAAGATCAAGACAGACCAAAATGTAAATAAAACAGGTAAAATTAACATTAAATATAGATATATTTATTTTTGCAAAACATGCATATTTTACTGTTCAGTATTCAGTTAGTTTCGGACAGTTCAGTTGTCAGGGTTAACACTGAGCTATCGTAAGGAAGCTTCAATGGTAGGTCGGTACAGCTAGTTGCCCTGTAGTACCCTATAAAACCTCACATCAATTTAGTATATATATATATATATATATATATATATATATATATATATATATATATATATATATATATATATATATGTGTGTGTGTGTGTGTGTGTGTGTGTGTGTGTGTGTGTGGAATACACACACACGTACACACACTCCCCTATGAAAGTATTGGAACAGCAAGGCCAATTCTTTTGTTTTTGCTATACACTGAAGACATTTGAGATTGTTTGAGATGGATCAGAATTTCCGAATTTCAGCTTTCATTTCCTGATATTTACATGTAGATGCGTTAAATGTGTTAGAACACAGAGCACCCAATTCTTTTCATGAGCAAAAGTATTGGAACAGATTTTTTGGTTGAGTATCTCTTGCTTGCAATAACTGCATCAAGCCACTGACATCAGCAAAGTGTTGCAGTCTTCTTATGTGATGCTTTTCCTGGCTTGTACCACAGCTTCTTTCAGTTGTTGTTTGTTTTAGGGGGTTTCTCCCTTCAGTCTCCTCTTCAGGAGGTGAAACATATGCTCAGTTGGGTTAACGTCTGGCGATTGACTTGGCCAGTCTAAATCCTTCCACTTTTTCCCCCTAATGAAGTCCTTTGTTGTCTTGGCAGTGTGTTTTGGGTCATCGTCTTGCTGCATGCTGAAGTCAATTTTCCCTCTTTTCTCAGCTTCAAAATGGCTTGCTTTTTTTCCCCTTAGAAGACTTTCTGGTCTTCATGTTGTTTTATCATTGTTAACAACAAATGCAGACTTCACAGTCGACCCAGGGCACAAACCAAGAATAAACATTCAGAGCTATTAATTATTTAAACAAGCAATCTAACAGGGCACACCTGGGCTACAAGAAACACCTGTCAGTCAAATGTTCCAATATTTCTGATCACTTGAAAAACGGGTGGGTTCAAACAAAAGGTGCCATGTACTAAGTTGTTTAAAACATCTAGATGTAACTATCAGGAAAGGAAGGCTGAAATTCTGATCTATCATCTCATATTCATCCACTGATCTCAAACCCAAATGTCTTCAGTGTATAGCAAAAACAAAAGAATTGGCTTTACCATTCATATACTTTCGGAGGGGACGGTGTATATCCAAAATTGCTCACTTGTATTATTTATTTCAGTAGAAACATATTATTTAAAACCAGCTTCATAGCATTCCTGCAGAGCAAAGGACACTTTAATAAAATAAAAATACAGTATCAAAAAAGAGCTGCCACTCTGCTAAGCAGGAAACGAATCCTGTGATAAACTTATTAAATGACTCACTCTTGACTCGTTATTATGCAACCCATTCACCAGAACATACATAACCCACGAAATGACATACCACTAACTGCTATATAACTTCATTACTTGAGAGGATAAACAAAGTGGTGGCATAATTTGAAAAGATGAGTCAAGTTGATATTTTACATGATAATGGAAATTTATTTTGATATCTTTCGCAAATTCTGGTCCTCAGACTCTGGGCTTTTCACTTCTCAAAATGCTGCAGTTTTTGGATAATGGTCACTCATGCATGCATGAAAGAAACCTCTCTATTCCACAGCCTGTTTTTATATTAGTTTTTCTGTTTTAAGCAATACCGTGCACTGAGGTGCTGCAAGTGTACATAAATTGAAGGAGATACACTAAACACCATCACAAATCACCCTAGTACCATTTAACATTAGGTCCTGATTTACACATCATATCGTATAAATGAATCAATTATAGCGCTAGTGGAGAATGTTGTGTAACATTTATAAACTGCTGTGATGTGTTCCATGTGTACGTACATTGAATGAGACGGTATTCCAGCTATCCTGTTTTTCTTCATATCGGATCTCTACCAGCTGAATGTTTTGACCGTTGTCTGGATAGAGCTGACATTGTCTTGAAGAGCATTCCACCTTCATGATTTTGGGGCTCGGCGGTTTCACTGTACATGAACAGAACACCAGAAAGAGGTGGGGTCA